GGTAGGGCAATCTGTCATGTCACTTGCTTCCTCTTTCATTATTAACTTTTTTTTATTTTTATTTTTTATTTCTTGCTGTTTCTAATTTGTATTGAATCTTTTGTTCTTCGAAGATGCCATGCTTGTTGGAGCATTGGTTGATCAGATTTTTGTCTTTTATATTAATTTGTATCTTGTGATTACGTAGAGGTACAATGCTTTACCCATCGTTAGCTGCAGGTTTGTACTAAAATTATCAGGAAGATTTTTTCTATTCTATGTTGGTTGTTTTTTTTTTCTGGAAAAGATGATTCAAATTCTCCTTCCATCATTTAATGCTCTGTATTGTGTAATGATGCTTAAACTTACAAGTTGCACCTGGAATATCGACAGTGGTAGAGGATTTAGTGAGTTAATCTGTAGTGCAGAATAAGATGCATTCATCACAAGCATTCCGATTCACATATTAGCAAGGCTATCCAGATCAAAATGTAGGGCAAAAGATGTTGCATTGGCATTACCTTTGAAAGGTTCAATTGTTTGCAACGTGAAGCACCCTATGTATGCTTTCTGATTTTAGTAACATAGATTTCTGGAGTTTAAAGCCCCACAGCATATTTGGGCCTGGAAATCTGAAAATTTCTCTAGATGAGTTATGAGTATAAGAAATCTATTGTAATTATGTTGGGGTAGAGGGTGTCACAATATTCATTGCACAATACTTAAATAAATTATGATTTTTGATTTAGACAATTTATTATAAACCATATTGATAGAGTCAATATAGTGGTGAGTGAGTTAAAATAATATGTATAATGTTTTGTATTAAAATTTTATTGTTATCAGTATAATTTTAATAGATAAAAAAGTTATTATAAATTAAGTTTATCTTATTTTTAAGACTTGTATATATTATATTGATTATATTATTTTTGTATGTCCCTTGTTTTATTTAATATATTAAATTTATTCTCTTAATTTTTCAAAATAATATAATAATGTAATTCAGGACATTTTTAGACTTCATATTTATGTTTATTAATTTTTTTTAATTCTTATAGTTAAAATATATATATATATATATATATATATATTTATACTTATTTTTTTATAATTCTTTTTCGTCCATTAACTTTTTTTAAGGACATTTTCATTGTGTTGATGTGATAAATGTCTTTAATTTTGTGATGGTTAAAAAAAGGTTGTCTCAATAATGAAAGTGTCACAGTAAGTGAAGGTAAAAAAATAGGTAAAACATGTTGAAATATCCAATTCAAAACAATTATAGCAAAATAATTTTGACATTAAAAATAAAAAAAATTCGAATACCTATTTCATGCTATTATAAACGAAACAACATTATAACAAAAATTAATGACAAGACTATAAAATTTTAAAAAAATTATAAATATAAAAAACTAAAAAATATAAGAGATAAATATTATGACTAAAAAGTTTATTTTAGATTATAAAAATTAAAAGATGAAATAAATGAAACTATAAAAAAAAATATTTTAATCAATATTTGTAAGTATTATCAAATTGCAAATACTATCAGCTATACTTTTTGGATTTTGTATTTTATTAGTTAAAGTCATTCCAAATCTTAGATTAGCAACTTAGCATGTATGAAAGAAGGTGGTGCAATTTTATTGATATGAAATTGTGGATTTCTGTTTCTTTCTAATCACGAAAAGTTATGAATATTCTAACTCGTCAAACCAGTAATTCGTTACCTTTTTTTTGACCAATTAATTCGCTACTTTCTGGAAATAATACAATCCTTGAATTAACTAAAGAATATGTTAAGATTAAGTTAAAATTATGATAAAAATATTAATATTTTAACATCAAATTTTTAACAAATGATGGAAGGAAATTAAATAATATTAAAAGTGGTCAGCTTTAAGAGAAAATTAGTCCTAAACAAATTTAGTAAATTCTAAAATGAGATTTTTTTTTCATTATGAAGATTTTTTTTATATAATTTCTCTCAAAGGTTTGAAGGATATTAAATACGTGAACATCCTCTTTTAACTTGAGTTATCTTTATTTAGAAGAGTTAAAATTTAATTTTTGATCACTTGATTAAATAATGTAAATCTCTCGCTACTCATTCCAATCAAAATTAGTATGAGAAATGTAATTTTAAAGATAAAATATACAATCAATCATGTAATTAAAAAATTAAGATCAAGATTTATGATAAAATAAAATTATTGTTAAATAAAATTAAAATTAATTATATTATCAATATTAATTTTTTTAATTAGTAGTTATTATTATACTTTATTCTTTAAAAAAATTTAATTTCCTCAAGAGGAGTATTGTTTTTGGATTTTAAAGTTTAATTATTATTTTTCTTTATAATTTGAATTTTTAATTAATTAGATTAATTTATTTGTGAGATTAAGTAAATTTAGATGTTTATTGAATTTCTTTGATTTAAATTTCTCAATTTTTAATTACTTTTGAAAATCAAATCAATTATATTATCTTTCATTCAAGTTTTACAAATTAAGATATTAAATTTTGCTTAAAATAAAAAATATCAAATTTACTCTATTTAAATCATACTTTTGTTCAAATTTGAACAGACTCAAAAGAAAATTCGCAAATTGATTTAAAAAACCAAAAATCAATGAAAAATTATAAATTAGAGATTCTGTTTAATTTTTAAAATTTTTAAAATTATACAATTTGATTTAATTTTCGAATAGAAATGTGAAACTGCTTGAAATTAAACTAAATTACACTTAAATATAAATACATTTTTTTTAAATGTATAATATAAGTGTACAAAATTGACATTTTTATAAAATTGTAAACTATTAAAATATATTTTATTTCTCCAAATATACATTATGATATTTAAAAATATCTTATAAAATTATAAGTTATTAAATTAAATTTTAGAATAAAAAATTATAAATTATTTATGATGATTTTTTTAAGGATAAATTATAAAAAAAATTTAATATGAAAATTAAAATCATATTAAATAAATGTTTTACTAAAATAATAAGATAAGATTTGGTATTAAATACATTGATTAATTAAAATATTTTAATATTTATATGCTTTTAATTTTATTTTTAACGTATAATTTTAAATAAATAATATAATATTACATAATTTTAGTTAATTTTTAAATAATAAATTTTTAAAATCAAACAAAACTACAAAAAATTGGTTAAATTTAGTTCAAATTTTATAATTCATTCATAACAAATTACATTTATTTTGCTTGCTTTGTTTGGACGACTTTTAAGGTAAAATCTGGATCAAATTACATTGCGAATATCCTCCTTTTCAAATCTTTTAAAATCTTCAATTTTATTTTTAGAGTTCTATTAATTTTTTTATTAATAAAATTTTAAAATTATTTCATATATCATATTTATAACAAATCCTTAAATATTTAAACAAAAAAGTTAATGCACGAATAAGTTAAAAAAACTACTACAAAATCTAAATTTAATTAATTTTAAAAGTAAAAAATAGTCATTAACTAAAAACAAAAGCCACATTGCATGCCTTCCTGAACTAAAATTGCAGTTAAACTTGTTATTAATTTCAGCTGCCATTGATCTTCAAATTTCAAAGACTCGCACCGCTAAGCAATTCTTTGTTCTTCTCTTTCATGTAACTTGAATTTTCATCCCAATTCCAATTTTAAACGTTGGATTTCATAATAAAATTACCCAGATTTATTCCTCCGCTCAATCAGGTACGTCTTCGCCCTATTTTCATTTATCACTTTGGATTTTCCTCATTTTTTTTTGCCTCTTACGTTCCACAAGATGTGTGCGATGATAAAATTTCCGCCATTTAATTCTACAATTTTGGGTTCTCTGTGTCATCTGATGCCATCATTCAGGAATTTGATGTTTTGCGTTTTAGTTTGGGAAGGCAAAAATCATAGAAAATTCGTTGTTGACATACGAGTGATGAAATCGTATTTTATTTTTGATCTATTAAGAATTATAATTCGAACCTAGTACTGTGCACGGAGTTTGATTGTAGAAGTGGATTATTGTAGTATAGGAAAAAATGTGAAGATTTATAAAAAAAATCAGTTATCATCAATAAACAGGTGATATATTATATTTTGCAGGAATTATGTCTCTTGGATGGAATTTGCAAGCACAAGGGCGTAGTTTACATGTTGGTTATTGGCCCACCTTTGATGGAAACAACAACAACAATGACAACCGGAAACGAAGCAGGAACAACTTTTATCACGGGAATTATAACTACTGGGCAGAACATGGTGGCTATTCTAATGTTTACAACTTTGGTTATGGTGATTGTGTTCAGTATGATGATGTCCCATCATCTTTGAAAAGGAGAAAACATTCGGCTCCTATTTGGGAAAACAGCCAGAAATACTATCTTCCATCCACTGTCCAAGGCAATATCCCTTCATCCATAGACTTCCAAGCACCACCTCCTACAAAATCCAATGTTGATACCTCTATATCACCTATTTGCAAGCTTGATTGTTCTATATTTGAAGATAGTGAGCCGGTGTTTATGTCAAGGGATGAAATTGATAGATGTTCTCCATCAAGAAAAGATGGTATTGATGTACTTCACGAGACACAGTTGCGCTACTCCTACTGTGCCTTCCTTCAGAATCTTGGAATGCGGCTTAACTTGTGAGATTCGTATTTTGGCTCATTTTTTTTCCTTCAAATTAACATCATAACATTAGTGGCTATATGCTTATGATATTGGTACTTATGATTACAATTAATTGTTAGATAGTGTCTTGTTTCTCTGTAAAGTCTGACATGCCCTTTGCAGGCCTCAAACTACCATCGGGACAGCCATGGTTCTGTGCCACCGGTTTTTTGTTCGACGATCACATGCTTGCCATGACAGATTTGTGAGTCTAATTGTCCTCTAGCTCTGAGTACCTACTTTATTTCTTACGAAATGCTTGGAATGTGGTATTTCTTTTTTGTTTTTTCAAGTTGCTTCTTATAGTTAGCCTGTGATTTAATTAATTTTGGTTATGCTTTGCCACAGTTGATTGCTACTGCTGCCCTTTTTCTCACTGGAAAGTCAGAGGAAACACCATGCCCTTTGAATAATGTGTTGCGAGCATCTAGTGAAATCTTATATAAACGAGATTTTACTTTGCTGTCTTATCTGCTTCCTGTTGTGAGTAGACTTCAAACTATGCACATTTTCTTACTTCCGTTGGTAACTTATTGCTGATAGGAGACAAGCAAAAAAGCACCAAATAGTAGAATCTTTATCAATTTTAATGCGGATAAGTTAGATATGCCTATTACTCATGGATATGATTGCTGATCTGCAATAAGTCTTTAGAAAGATATTGTCATTTAAGTAGCATGTTAGCTGATATGAACCCAGAGGGATGGATTCGTTTTACGGATCTATCTAGGTTGGAAAACTTATAATTAAGAAATTAAAATAAAAAAATATGGATTGAGGTAAAAAATGGAAGAACAACGCCACAATCCCTAAAGATTGATAAGTTGAGGAAGATTCGCCACTTTGAATTAGGAAATTCAAGGATAAGAATCAAAAGTAGTTCTTAAGAACCTAGAGAGAGAAAATCCTCTCAATTGGAAAAATATCCAAATTATGAATAATTCATTTTCTCTTCCTCTAAAATTTTTACAAAAGGTTCTTATTTATAAGCTTAGATGGGCAAGATGACATAAATTCCCACTAACACTTAATATCCACTAGAATTGACTCCTCACTAGCCCACTAACTAAGCAATAAATTCCCACTAACATTTATTTCTCCTTAGCAACCTAAAAGGCAAGGAAATCCATCAGATTTATTTAATAAAATAAAATAAAACGAAAATTACATTAAAAAATAAGATAATGGACTTAATTATTTAACCTCAAACTACTTAAATTTCAGCCCATTAATCATTCTTCTTTATCATATGACTTTGGGCTTGTTAGTCTTCAATTTTACCCTGCTGGATTCATATCATACCCTCCTTTTTTGAGAAGATTCGTCCCAAATCTTAAGGCTTTATTTATTTCCTAATTTATTTAATTCACTAACTACTGCTGGAACGCAAATGCTTCCTCCTGGGTCGAAGACATCTCGCTTGTATCTATCTCTAGCTTCACCTGTTAGTAAGTTATTAATCATCAACGAAACAAATAAAACATCTTCAAACTCATAACCACAAACGTACTCAATGAATAGGAATTGAATCCCATTCAAGTGGTAGCTTTGGAAAATAGTAACTTCAAACAACAAATCAACTCCATTTTCCAGGTGCAAGGTCTCTTGAATTTTATTTTGAAAGGTGGATTGAATGTATAAAGGTGCATTAGGAATGATGTTGACATGCTTCTTCAAACAAGAAAACTTGTCCTCCTGTTCCTGTAAATTTGACACATCAAAAGAAGAAAATGTAACGTTAGAGTTGTCATCTTCCTCTCTATGTATCTCATCTTCTGCTCTCCTCTTCTCTTCTCTTTCTTTTTCTATCTTTATTTTCAATTTCAGTTGATCCTCATGTACAGCGTCGGATGATAGACATATCAACTTAATCCTTCGTCCACCATGCACAAAAGAAATAGAAGGTCGTTCAGGATTTATAATTTTATTATTCAACCATGGCCTCCCTAATAACATATGGCATGTCTCCATGGGGGCAATATCACAAAGAACTTCATCTTCATATTTTCCAATAGAGATTTAATCATTGCTTGTCCATTTGTAGTGGGCATACATAATTTCTCAACCGCCTTGTTGCTTACGACATTTCTAAAATTGAATTCATCTACTGCGACCAAGAACAGAGAGTCGTCAGCCAAACATCTTGTATAGTAAATTTTCATTTCTATTCCAAACCCAGAGCCGAAGCTCTGATACCAAATTATATGAACCCAGAGGGATGGATTCGTTTTACGGATCTATCTAGGTTGGAAAACTCATAATTAAGAAATTAAAAGAAAAAAATATGGATTGAGGTAAGAAATGGAAGAACAACGCCACAATCCCTAAAGATTGATAAGTTGAGGAAGATTCGCCACTTTGAATTAGGAAATTCAAGGATAAGAATCAAAAGTAGTTCCTAAGAACCTAGAGAGAGAAAATCCTCTCAATTGGAAAAATATCCAAATTCTGAATAATTCATTTTCTCCCCAAACTTTTACAAATGGTTCCTATTTATAAGCTTAGATGGGCAAGATGACATAAATTCCCACTAACACTTAATATCCACTAGAATTGACTCCTCATTAGCCCACTAACTAAGCAATAAATTCCCACTAACATTTATTTCCCCTTAGCAACCTAAAAGGCAAGGAAACCCATCATATTTATTTAATAAAATAAAATAAAACAAAAATTATATTAAAAAATAAGATAATGAACTTATTTAATTATTCAACCCCAAACTACTTAAATTTCAGCCCATTAATCCTTCTTCTTTATCATATGACTTTGGGCTTGTTAGTCTTCAATTTTACCCTGCTGGATTCACATCATTAGCTGAAATCAATTGAAATTTATCTTGGAGGCTTCCAAAATAATCTCCAATACTAAAGAATTTCTTGGACAGATTTCTCCCTTAGAATAGGAGTTTTGCATGTTTAATTTTCACTTATATTGACTTGATTTCTTTTTCAGGATTGGTTTGAAAAGTATCATGACCGGGTGCTTGAGGCTGAACTGTTGATGCTTACCACTCTAAATTTTGAACTCAATGTGCAACATCCATATGCATCTCTTACATCTGTTCTTGACAAATTAGGCCCTTCAAAGACTGTTTTGATGAATCTGGCATTAAACTTGATCAGCAAAGGGTGAGTTCTCTTATTTGTTGGATCTTATACATTCCGCAAACAATTGCAACAGTATTTTTGCTTGTCCATTCATTGTGTGGACCAAATTTGTTCTGATACTGATGGGTTATCTGCACCCAAGCCCACAACCAAATTTGAATGTCAGTTATTTGAGCAGCAAATATCTCAAATTCATCCACTGTTCCCACCTGGAAAAATGCCTTCAATTGCAAGAACAGGTTCACTGTATGATGATCACCATATAAGTCAAAAAGAGCTCATTTGAAGTCTTTCCCAATCGAATTCTAGTTCTGCCTCCTTCAGCACCGTGAACCAAAGCTATGTCATTCCTTCTCTCCATACATGTTTGTGTGAGTTGTACTTAGCTCTGGTGGTGTATCTTGCACAGCAAAATATGTTTTATGCACAGGAAACCCATCCACCCAACTTGATCATCCCCGTAGAGGGGCAGAAATTCAATTCATTCAGCATTGTGACAATGGTTGTGAAACAATTCCAGAGAAGTTTTTGGGTGGAACCTCTTTGTCCTCGTTGCAATCATTCCTAATGCCAGAGCTGGCTGATGAGGAATCCAACTTCCACTGGTGGCTCTGAAGTCCCTCTCGAACCTTGAAATATAAAGCTGTGAAAGACTTGGTAATGTCCCCAATGCTGGTCAGCTAGGAACCCACCTTAGATGAATGATCATTCAGCTGTACCATGTTCCTTTAGTGTGTTAAATCATGATTATGCAGCTACACTTTCTCTTGATTTTTGAGAGTGGACTCAACAGTTACCATTCGAGTGTTTAAAGTATTAATGTGTTGAGAAGCCATACAAGTTTGCATACACTGGATTCTCCCTCACTATTACCTCTTAATGAAAGCACCAAATGATAGGAACTGGTCCTATCTAGCTGGGAGAACGTACTTTATTAATGAGAAGAAAAGGGAAATTGCCGAAAATAAAATGCAGAGCTCCCAGCTATAGAAGCAACTTCCTAGCCCAAGTTGTAAGCCACAAATAGAGATGACATGGTATGATCCCTATGTGGACTACCCCTGACTTCTCTTATACATCCAGTCTCTCTTCTGTAACTAATTTTTTCTCTCCTTTTTCTGCCTTAAGCCTAATAGGCTTGTAGGATTTTGGGATTGGTCTTGGATGCAGATAACCCATCAGATACTTATGCACTTCCATTCCATTCGGTCTGTTTGTTTTGCATCTGTAATCGTGTATGTATTGTTTCAAACTGATGTCCTCTTCAGACATTCTTTTCTTTGTTTTCACTTGGCCCATATCACCCAACACAGTGGTTGCCACGAAAAACTTGGTTCATTTTCTTGAGGTCTAGAGAACTACTAGCCTAGGTGTCTCCATTCTAATTTTTGGTTCAAGATTGTGTTGAATCTCTTAATTTTTCTGTAGAGGAACTGCTCTGTGCAGTTAATCTTTCATGGGATATTGATTCTTTTGGCATGCATATCTTGCAGGATCTTCACAAGATTAGCATAAGGGCCTGTATGACATTCTTAGCTGGTTGATTGATATGCTGTTCAACATTCATGGAACATTTTGTTTTACATCTGAAATTGTCCTGCTAATGTCTAATGGATGGCTTTACCCTCAATAAGTGAATATGTCTGACTAACTTTTCTTTTGGTTAACAAAGATAGCTACTACTGTACCTCCAAACCAGATATTCTGACAAACCCTCCATTTTTTGTGGTTTATTCTAATAACCTTTAGCCAAATGGGTTATCTATGCACTTTTAATATATTTAACAGAAAGAAGATCAAGGATCTAAAACCAACAAAAGTCTTTTTATATTTTGGCATCTGGTATTTGTTTTCTTTCAACCTGGTTTATTAATTGATCACTTGATTTTGAGGAAAACTGCTGTTCAGGCTTGAATCTGCTGATAAAATCATTTCGTTTTAAACTGGTTCCTTTATTATCTCTGAAAATGCATGTTGCATTTTTTTCTTTTTGATTTAATATATTGGAGCCTGATAAGTTGCAACTGAATTATATTATTTGAGTTTTATTTTTCACTTTGGCTTCCTTAATTCATGATTCATGTTTTTTAGATTTGGACATTATTTTTAAGGCATTGACGGCATTCCTCTTTCATTATTAA